AGACAGGAGAAATAAGTTAGTTGTATGTTGTACTGTATGTTTTCCAAGCTTTGGATTTGAAGTAAAACATTCCTTCAGGGCAAGCTGTGCCCAGAGAGTTGAAGTGAAGGACACTAAGGACACTGACAGGATTTTTTTTTTTTTTTAATACTGAGGTTAAAGAGGCTGAAGCTGATTTTTCATACTGTACTGCGTACTGGACTCGACCCTATCATCAGAAGTTGGGAGGAGAACTAATTGGATGATACTTTGAGTTCTGCTTTTTTTTTTTTTTTTTTTACCATATTCTGCTTTGTGATGTACTATCTCCTGTAATTTTCCTCAGTGAAGAAATTTAATATGACTTATTCCATGTCCAATTTTCTTTAATGTATGAGTGGACTTCAGTCATGGCTGGGCACTTATGTTCCCTGGCCTTCAGACTCGATTAATATCAGGAAATGAGCAACAGAAATTGAACAGCTAGCCAAGTTGGCCTTGTTTCTCTCCTTTGTTCTTTCTTTTGGTATACAGTCTACCCAATAGATGGCTCATCATGGCTTGGCTGGCTACACTTGCTATTCTCTTAAAATGGACTTTGAATTTCTACAGTTTACTTAGAAAAATGAGTTTGATTTTAGGCTATAATTTATTCATTGATTCATAATGTGCTAATTAATGGGAAGAATATGCAGTATGTGTTGTGATGAATGTCATATGATGTACAACTTCTGCTTTAGTTCTGTCACTCCTATCTTAATCATATAAATTCAATGAATCCCAAGTTCTTGGAGTAGTTGTATATGTAACTAGAAATTCACCGAACTCAGCTTCTACATATTTTGTCCTTTCACCTTCAGCTGCTGCTTTGGTCTCTCCGAGCTTTATCCTTTTGATATGCCCCAGTCACATTTCCTGTAAAGTCAATAGGTCAGGGCTGAGATTAGACTGTGTTCACTGTATCTCTTGTAACATTCCCCATTATCTGCATTGTGCTAGCACTGGTGTGTTGATTTTGTTCAATACGACTTTTTCAGTGAGGCTCTTTTATTTCTTCTCTTCCTTTAGGAGGAGACCCTTCCTCCAGAAGGAGAAAAAGAGGAGCCACCAGTAGCTCCCATCGTGGAGGAGAGCCCGAAGCCTACAGAAAACTTTCAAGAGCGACGAGCCCTGGCCATTGCAGCCAAAGCCCAGGAGATAGAGAAGGTCCTTTTGTATACACTTGAATTTACATTTAACTGATTCTCTAACTAGAGAAAGCTGAAAATGAGTCAGCAAGTGATACAGCCATGCTCCATTTTAATAGTAGTTTATTGAAGGTGCTGCATATATTTTTCTCATGTTAATAATGTTATACCTCAGCCAATATAAATTTAGATTAGGTTAGACCTCGCTGTAAACCTACTTCTCAGCCACTTTCATTGGTACCAGCCAGATATCAGTTTTAGTCCAGTATTTAAGCAATAATTGATTATCTGGCAAAGTAGCTAGTTGCTAAATTTTCCAGCGTTTTCCTGGTGGCTCTTGTTAATCTCTCATTCAGACTCCCTGACAGCTAGAACAACTCATTATGCCAAAGACCAATTGTATGTCCCGCATTGCTTAACTCCTCCTAACAAATGTGCCTGCACACAGGGATTTGAAAATGCTAAGATAATGTACATGGTGCAGGAATAAATAAATGAAAGCAGAAACAATACTACAGCTTATTCATAATATAGGCTTGTGTATACAATTAACTGGGTAGTAGAGCATTTAACAGAGCTTGGCTCAAGGGTGCCAACTATGCTCAGTCATCTAAAGGAGGCCATTACTGCACCAGTGAGCACTACTGCTGCTTTACTGGGCCCATTAAACCTGAGCCAGCTCTGCCCTGGAGCACAACCTGCACTCTCACATTGAGCCGTGCCACAGAGCTTATAGCTGTTGCTGATCTTGCAGCTTCTGGCCAGTTTTATAGCCTGTCTAATTTCTCCCCCATCTATGACTCCATTCACCAGACAAACTGTATAACATTTTAGCTCTATTGTGTGAGCTTTATTTAATGTTTGCAAGTACTGTAAAAAGTCTGAATGTTGTCATGGTCTCTGGCCTTATCAACTATGTTGTCTTACAACCCATACTCTCCCTGCTATAACTTTTAAATGTAGCCAGTTTTCAATTCTGTTTTAAATTGTTTTTGCAGGATTTCCCGATTCTTGGATAGTCCGTGTCTCACAAAATAGACCCTGAAAAATGTATTAGCACTTGTCTGGTGGCTGGAATAAATTCCCCATAGTGCCAAGACCACATAGCTAAACACACTGAAGTTAGACTTTCAGTCTAATAAAGTCACTTTCTAATGTGCTCTGTGAAATTACAGGACTGTTTCTCGTGTTGGTCAGATGTTTGGGTTTCTGCACCCAATCTGGTCTAGCCATCTCTTGTTCATATGTACACAAACGCACAGAGTCCAGTGGCTTCTCAAAACCCCACTAAATGTGTCTAAAATTGCCACAGATCACATCACAAGCTGAACTTTCCATCATCAGCCAGGCATCATGCTGGGCCACATTATACCAGTGCCTCGGTGTGTGTGTGTGTGTGTGTGTGTGTGTGTGTGTGTGTGTGTGTGTGTGTGTGTGTGTGTGTAGCTAAGTGAAGTTGGTCTGCTGGAATTCAACCTGAACCCGTTCTCATTGTCAGCATTGACTTTGGCTGCAGTACAGACTCACTGGTTATAGTGAGTGGCAAGGCATGAGATGCAATAAAGGGTATTATGTTTTACTCCTCATAGACCAGGTTGTGATACAAAGGGAGTTTTATTTCATTTGTGGACTGTTTTTGGCTGCAAAATAGACAGCCA